AAGGGAAGGCGCATTCTTCCCACTGACCAACAAGGGAAGGAGCATTCTTCTCACTGACCACCAAGGGAAGGAGCATTCTTCCCACTGACCACCAAGGGAAGGAGCATTCTTCCCACTGACCAACAAGGGAAGGAGCATTCTTCTCACTGACCACCAAGGGAAGGAACATTCCTTCCACTGACTACCAATGTAAGGAGCATTCTTCCACTGACCACCAATGTAAGGAGCTTTCTTTACAATAATCACCATAATATAAGCAGCATTCTTTCTATTGACCACAAATGTAAGGGGAGCATTCTTCCCACTGACTATTGTTTTAATAGATTAGGGAAGATTGGAAATTCTTTCAAAGTGTTTATAGCCACTGGGTACGTTCACCCTGTCTGTTTGTCCTGGTGACCACGGTCATTGAGATAAAAAGTGATAGGAAATCTAATATTTGGATTGTTACTAGAACAAGAGGTAGGGGAAATGTACCAACGCAGACACTTGTTTTGGTGCGCTTACTGTTAGACACTTCCTATTTCTCTCCAGGAGAGGATGCAAAGGGAATTCTCAGCAACAGCACACAAACCGCAAAAATATAATAAATAAAATGATGTACTCTATATGAATAATACATATAAGTTTCAGCTATACATACACTTAAACCCTTTTAGTTCTGTATTTAATTAACAATCCTATTCATCAATTTTTTCAGTCCTGTCTCACAACCATGAACTCTGCTATGTCTAAATTCTACTTTGTAGTTAGTGAAATTGTAATTCGCAGGGTTGGACAAATTGATATGAAATTCAGGAGCCAGTGTGTCCAATCCGGGAACCAGCAATGATTTTTTAGGAGCCATCTTCATTGACCACAACTAGAGACAACCTCAAAATATAGGCACCTGCTGTAATTTTTAGGGGAATTGGCTACCTGTCTCCTGGGATTTGTCCAGCCCCGGTGCTTGGAAATATCAGAATTTATGGCAGTAGTACATGACTGACCAAAAATCTAGGAATCACTGCTGTAAAGGATTGTATGTATGGACAAAGCTGGTTTCTACTCTGCCAGGATAGAACAATCCCACCATAAATGCAATTGCTGTCTAAAGCTTAATTTTATTTACTCCAGTTCTGCTGGTTCTTGATCATGATGCATTGTGATCAAGACTCCACAGAATCAAAATGCATTGTTTCTGACCATCCTTGTGGGCTATTAAGGTGACCATGTCATATAAAGTAGTTTTTAAATGACAAGGTCACCTTAAAAGCATACAAGAACTACCCAGTGCCTTAAAAACCATGAATCATACTTCTTGTCCCATTGCCTCTCCTGCCAACCTTCACTTTCTTTCTTCTGTCAACAAATCTTCAGCATCCGACACTTCTGGGTGTGTCAGATTCCAGATTCCTGATCCCTTGCTATGGTGTTTTTCGTCAGCCCCTTCCGTAGTGACGTAGGGTTAGGCAAGAAAAACCAAAGAGCACAGATGGGGACCAGGCATCTGACAAACCCGGACTTATCGTATGCAGAAGATTCTTTAGGCAGTGGTCACTCTTTTTAACAGAATACCACTGGGGTGTTTACTATGTTTTGGAAGTGGCAGGGTCACTTTAATGAAACCCATAAAATAAAAATGTAATTTGCTACGTTTCGGGGCACACAGATTGTGCAACTCTGAATATCCATGAGTGGATATGACATGAATGGGTGAGCTGATCTGTTCATTGTGTTTCCCCTGATCTTTCTCCAGGGATTTCCCCAGTGGCATCACTCGTGCGATAACATGTGGTTTCCTATTGTTATAGAGGATGCACATTCTACTTCATTTAGTCATATGTGAAGTTTACATGATTATTTGCTGCAATGAGCTGGTGGAAGTGACCACAGCTTTTTAATCGGCTTTAGAAAAAAAAAAGATCACAAGCAGAACAAGCTAAACAACGTGGGTGACAGGCATTGTATAATATACCCTTTTGTCTACATTCCATTAGAGACCATTTTACAAGGTATATGTGAAGAAGTGACATACGTATACTGTAGTTGCTTAGTATACCTTTATGTGTATTTTGTGTTTTTAGTGCTTTGAGACATGATAAAGATGACAGACTGATACATTTAGCATTAAACTGTATTGCTGACCATCTAATCTAGGGGTCGGAACTTTGGCCATCTAGCTGTGCTTTATCTACAAATCCCAACATGCCTCTGCCTCTGGGAGTCATGTCTGTAATTATCAGTCTTGCAATGCCTAATGGGACTTGTAGTTTCACAACAGATGGAGGACCAGAGTTGCCCACCCCTGATCTAATGGAAAACTAACAGCCCTCAACCTGGGGGTCCCAGCATAACGTTATATACATTACCTGTTGTTGCCAGCTATAGTTCATTACAGTATGATACATGTATGAATGGTTCTGTGCTTTCTTTGGCCTTTACGCTGTCCATTCCAGTTCTTTTGATGACCATTTATAGCTGGAACTGAGCAAAACAAATAAAGACCCCCTGAGCACTCCCAGGTTCATCAACATTCACATCCACAACAAAGACTCTAGAGCAGCCATTCACAACCAGAATCCCTTAGAACCCTAGGGTTCCTCCAAAGGAATTTCTTGAGCTGTGGCTGATTGACCCCCTGTTTTATTGTGCCTGCATAGTTCTGGGGCAAGCGCCACTTGGTAGAGCCAACTGCATGACACCATGATATTTTTAGCTGTCTGTAAGGGTGGCATTCTGACCACCACTGTAAGGAGGAATTTTTTCCACTGGTCACCAATGTATGGGGCATTTTTCCAATTAATTTGTTTTAGCAGGGGTTCCCAGAGACCTGTACGTTTTATTTAAGGGTTCCTCTGGAACAAAAAGCTTGAGAAAGGCTGCTCTAGATTCCGTTTTTTGGGTGGATGCTAATAGTTTACCAACACCTGTTATGTGTTTACATTAGAGGCCTTTTAGCCTGCCAAGATTCTGTTCTCATAGAAAAACCAAAGCCTTTGTTGTAAACATTGAGAATTTAATTTCTTCACAATGCTTATAGATACAGAGGTAAATAAGGGTTTGCTTTAAAGTGCATTTACTGCTTGTTCTGAATATGTAAATGCTTTAGTATGCATGATCTGGGCACAGGTTTACTTTAAAGCCTGTCCTGCTGCTTAACCCCAACAATCTCCCCTCTGTTAGTAAAACTGTTACCTGAACAATCTTCTGCATCTGCTCTTATTGGTATATCGGATGCCTGGTCCCCCTCTGTGTGCTGTGTTTTCATCTTCTGGCCTCTATGTAACTACAGTGTCTTAGGAAACGGGGGGGGGGGGGGCGGGGCGTGGGTCTACCGATTGAACCACAGCACCCATGCAGAAGATTCTTCATGCAGTAGTATCTCTTTAATACAGGAGAGATTGGTGGCACGAGCAGCAGGAAAGACAATATTTAGTCTTCTCTTCCATGCTACTGTTTTCTTTTTAATTTTAGTTAGGTGACAGGGTGACTCTTTAATGTTGAAATTCAGGCAAACAGTTGAATGTTTAATTCTGTCCAGACACTTTTGTGATTCATACACCTCAGATACCACAGCCAGGAGGGTGGCACTGCTTCCTCTTTTATAGTCAAGGAATACTCTGGTGTCAGCTTCCTCTGGCTGCTTGGACACTGAGGCAATGGCATCGTAAGTTATAATACATTGATAAGTTATCAGCTCTGCTCCATCCTCCTGTCAGCACATTCCCTGTAAATGCACCAAAAGTGCAGTTATGCTTGAAATTCATATCTGCCTGGAGTTATTTATTAGTGGTATTTTTATAAAGCACCGTCATTTTACATAGAACTTTATATACTATTTATTCACTGCTTCAAATCCCAAAACAGTTTTTTTGTGCCCCATAGATGAGTTTGTCATCATACAATGAAATGTGCCTGTGGTCACTTTAGGAGCCCTAGTCACATTTTTACATTGCAGTAATGTGTGCCAGATTGCGCTAATGGGTCAGCCCCGGTGACACATATTTTGAATGGCCTCCCAATATACCAATATAGGCTACCCACTTCAATACACCACACAGTGCAGTATTTCACTGGTGTGATCCAACTAAAAAAATATCGAATTATTGAATGTTTGGATTGATATGTGTGACTATCTGACGTTTAAGGGTCAGTGGGCATGGAGCGCTGGACCACAACCTTTCTCTAGTTGAAGAGGAGGAATATTTGGGCCTGATAGCTCGGTTCTGGCAGCTCCTTTTAGGAAGCAGAAAACCCTGCAGAATTCAAAATCCATGTGACTGAAGACTAAAAAGGAGCACCAGGTAACCATTTCAAGAGTCCAAAAAAAACTTGTGAAGCCAATAAAGGTTTTTTAGACTCTTGAGATGATTAGCTGGCGCTCTTTTATTGAGTCTTCATTCACATTGACGTTTACCATTTGGCTGACTAAAACAAAGCTAGATTGCCTTTGCATTAGTTTTCTGTGTAAAGAGGGCTTTGTAAAGAGGTTACAGATAAGTATTGCATCAGTAAAGTCTGATTTTTTTTTTTTTTTTTATATGGTTTCAACATAAGTTGTTTAATTTCAAGACTTAACTTGCACCACAGAGTTTTACCAGTTAAACTCTACTCCTTTTGGCAATTGTACAGAAGCATATGATAGCAAATTTTTCCCATAAAGTCATACGCGTTAACATTCATATATTTCCTATTCTTCTGTGCTGAGGTGTGCATCCAGAATAATGCAAATTTCATATTGCCAACTCAAAAATGATATGCACTTTGCATAATTCCATCTTGAATTATTATTATTTACAGGTATTTTTATAGCACCGACAATTTCCGTAGCGCTTTACGCAGTGCACATTCACATCAGTCCCTGCCCTCGAGCTTACAATCTAAGGTTCCTACCTCACATGCATGCATACATACAGGTCCAATTTAGACAGGAGCCAATTAACCTTCTAGCATGTTTTTGAATACCGCCCAATGTCTTTGCTCCTTATTAATCCTTCATGTGTCCTTGACTCCCACAGTCTGCGGTCTTGCCCTTGCAAAATGAATCCACCTCAAGCCAACGCAAGCTCCAGGAAAAACTCTGAGCCTCTTTCCATGAATGATTTTTGGCTAGAGGTGGAGAACATCAAGCAGATGCAAGGATCTGATGGAGAGGAGAGCAGCTCTTCCGAACCCAGCACCCCAGAAGGTACAGGATATTATTGATGACTTACCTCTACACTTCTCGATCAATAGAGGGATTCATGATAGCACTATTATTCTCCATTGCTGCATATGTTAAGAGTCCCTGGGTACTGCGTAGATGGCCCATGTTCATCATAAATCCAAAGTGATTTCATATGCTCATGTATTTTACACTGTATAACATACAAGTCTTTGTTTTTAAAGTGTGCTGTATGTCAAGTAAAAAGTTTTTGTCTTTTTTATTTTTTGTCTGAATCAGGTAAGGTTAAAGCCTTGCCAGGTTGTCTTTGCTCTCCTGGGCTCCGTTAGAAATATTTTCAATCACTTCTTGTCCTCCTGACAACAGTTCTGCCATTTGAGGAAGGGAAGGTATATCCTAAATGGGAACACGGACAGAAATAAAGATATGGATATTTGAAGTGGAAAGAAAGTACTAGACCCCTGTGGTTATTCTCTTGGTGTTTCTTATTCAATAATAGTTAAAGAAGAACTCCAGGCAAATAAACTTATCCTTGCAGTGGGGATACCCGCACTGCAAGGGTTAAGTGCTTGTTTTTGTCTAGCAAGCAGATTTACTTACCTGATACTATCAGTGCTTACCTCTCTCCCCCTCCACACCCGCTTAGGAATGTCCCTCAGCGTCTTCACGTCTAATGCAAGTTAGTGGACCTGCATGAGATGTGATGATGTCAGCGGTCCTTAGACCTCTGTAGCCCAGGGAAAAAGAGGCTGTGGGGACCAGTCTAGCAGCCCGAAGGGAGTCGGCATCAGGTAAATCTGCTAGGTAATGCCCACATGTTTCTAAAGCCGGGTATACATGGTACGAATTATGGCTGGTTCCTCATGAACCAGCCAGAATTTGCACGGTAGGTGCCACTGTCGACACCCTTCCGCCTGGCATTCCTTGACCTGCTGATCGAAAGAGCCGCCCAAACGGAACTGGCAGCCAATCGGCTTCTAGATTCATTCGGGTATACTGACAGCAGCCAGCTTAAGCCTTTATGTTTGGAAGAACTGAAATCCAGTGAATAAAAGGGGCAGGCCAGGGACATCCAGGCTAGGAAGGAAAGAGCTTGCTGCAGCTTCTAATGTACATTGGGGGAGGGGGGGATTGATCAAAATCTGGAGCATATTTGCACTGCAACCAATCAGCTTTTCTGTCTCATTTTCAAATCTTACCTGAGCGAACTGAAAAAATAAGCTGATTGGTTGCCATGGGCAACTGCTCCAGATTCTGCATGCTCCAGTTTTGATAAATTCCCCCAATTGTGAGAAGCTCACAGTGTGCAGTGAAATCAGAGAGAGCAATTGCAGTGCAAGAGAGGATCCTGATACATTCAGACACAGCAAGACAACTATGAAAGACTAAAGGGAAGGCTGGACTTCAGCTTTATTATGTAGAATTCAGCTTTGAAGGAAACCTGTAAGTAGTGAATGATTTTGGTTGCCATTGCTAAACTCTGCATGGCGATCCAATGGTCTCAGTATTTTCAGGGGTCACTGACCGGGAATGAGAATGTAGATTAGGACATCGGTCATCTGTGTGATTGTACTTGCTACAAGTGTGTTCTAGGTCAGAGATTTCGTACATTGAAGGAGTTTACATTGGTTGGGCAGTGATGTTCATTGGAATGGGTTGAAATCCTATAAGCAATAACAAATGCCCCCAATGCCTTCAGGATCAGCTTGATGTAAAGAAGGTTTTAATGTGTGTTAATGTTTGTTTCTATGCACAGTTTGTAATGATATATGTCCAGTCATTACCACAAATATTGGCACCCCTGTATTTCTGTCAGATAATGCACCACGTTGCACAGAAAACTGTTGCAATTACACATTTTTTGGCATTCTAATGTTTATTTATTTTGTTTGCATTGGTATTACACAAAAAAGTTGAGAACAAAAAAGCCAAATCTGACACATTCCATGCAAAACTCCAAAAATGGACTGGACAAAATTATTGGCACCCTCAATTAATATTTAGTAGCACAGCCCTTGGATAAAATAACTGAAATCAATGGCTTCCTGTAATAGTCAATTAGTTTCTTACACTTCTCTACATGAATTTTGGACCACGCTTCTTTCATCAACTGCTCCCAGGTCTCTCAGATTGGAAGGGTTCCTTTTCTCAGCTGCTGTTTTGAGATCTCTCCACAGGAGCTCTATGGGATTTAGATCTGGACTCCTTGCTGGCCAGCCCAGTACTCTCCAGCGCTTTGTCTGAAACCATTTCTGGGTGCTTTTTGACGTGTGCTTTGGGTCATTATCCTGCTATAAGACCCATGACCTCTGACGGAGACCCAACTTTCTGACACTGGGCCCTACATTGCACTCCAGAATTCTTTGCTAGTCTTCAGATTTCATAATGCCATGCGCACAGTCAAGACATCCAGTGCCTGAAGCAGCAAAGCAACCCCAAAACATCAGTAAACCTCCACCATGTTTGACTGTAGGGACTGTATTTATTTATTTAGTTATTTATTTAAAGGCCTCATTTCTTTTTCTGAAAACATGGCTTTGGCTTTACCAAAAAGCTGCCATTTTGTGTCATACCAATACAAACAAAAGAGATAAGCATGAGAACGCCGAAACATTTGTAATTGCAACAATTTTCTGCGCAAAGTGGTGCATCATCTGACAGGAATGCAGGGGTGCCAATATTTTTGGCCACGGCTGTAGGTGATGGTTTAAACTTTAACACTGCTTCTGGTCCTGTGAATTGACTTGTTCATTTTTCTTATTAGAGGGAGAGGCAGAAGCTGACTGGCTGCAGGACACCGGTCTCTCTCCTCTCATCGGTGGCCCCAGTCCCACAGAAGGCAACGTGCTAATTTTATCGACTCTCACCCGAACGCAGACTGCGGCTGTACAGCGACGTGTGGACAGTTACAGTCGCTCTCTTCGGAAACGTTGCAAGCAGCCAGCACGAGATGTCCGGGAAGTGTTCTCTGCGGTAAGCACTACCAACTCTTGCTGGGGCAGCACCAATCTGGGAAATATTTTGAGGGGACTTCATCAAAACTGTAGCAGTCAAAAACTGGAGCCGATGTGCATGGCAACCAATCAGCTTCTCTCTTCCGTTTGTTCAATGAAGGTTTGAAAATGAACGATAGAAGCTGATTGGTTGCCATGAGCAACTGCTCCAGATTCCATCTGTTTGTTTTGATAAATTCTCCTCTCTGAGTTTGAAAGTGACAAAAATTAAAAAAGTTATACTCACCTGAAGCTCCGCTGCAGTGATGGAATGTCCCACAGCGTTTTCACGTCCTATACACCATATAGGACGTGATGACTCGCAGGACCTTAGACTGCTGGAGCGAAGGGGGAGCGAGGCTGAAGGGACCTATCTAACAACTAGCCGGCTGTGATGTTCAGGTGAGTATAACCATTTTTACTTTTGTCCCTAGGTGAAAACAAGCACTTAACCCTTGCAGTGCAGGGGTAGCCCGACCGCAAGGGTTGAGAATAATTGTGCCCAGAGTTCTTCTTTAATGTAATATGTAATGTAGTATTGCATTATGGCCGCTAGATGGAGCTGAGGAGCAGAGAAAATAAATACTTATTATTCATGCTCCTCAGCTGCATTTTTTCACACACATTTTCTTCAGGTCTACGGTTTTGCTTTAATACAGGTGGCTAATAGGTCAGTCCATCAAAAACACATATTTCAGTTATAAATGGATGGTGGATCACTGGCTCACCCACTGGTTTCCTCTGTCTCTGAGAAAGACACACTGAGACCTCTGCTTTGTGTCATATAAATGTAAAATAAATTAGACATCCAAGTAGGTAAAGGTGTAAAATGGCCAGGCTGGATGGGTGAACCTGGGTACTCATTATCCTTAAAAAAAACCTCAAACAGGACAATGTCTTGGAAGAGAGAGAGTCGGATGAACAGAGTAAAACAGAAGAGAACAGAAGCAGCCCCAGGCACACTCCACAACGTAAGTCCACAGTTTTGTTTATATTTACTTTGGTACATGTGGTGGTAAAAACTGGAACACAATTCTACATCATGCTCATTATTTGCTTTCTATAAAATACATTGGGAAAATATTTCTGGATCATTCTTTATTTTATATGTAGGACTATTGCAGTGACTGCAGCGCAAACTAATGCATTGGGTGTCAACGAGCCCTTATTTATAATATCACAAGACATGGCTAATGCTGGGCACACACCTTACAACCATCGCAAGACTTTCGTCTTGCGATGGTTGTATAAGGTAATTAAAAAAACGTACGATCTGCCTATCTTCAAAAGGCAGATCGTACTTGCGATGATCGCAAGCCCGCCCCTCTGAGGGGCGGGCTACCGATGACCGCAATGCAAAACGGACATTGTGCGCTTTTAGCAAAAACCGGCCCGTGCGGCTTTTACCTTGTGAACATGCCACACACCCGCCGACAATCGTACGATGCTCGGCGGGTTTTTGAACATGTTCATAAGATAAAAGTTGTGCGTCCTTACAGTAGGAGAGGTTGCACGCCTTCCACACACCTTGAGATAATCGTACGATCGCGGGATTTCCCACGATTATCATACGATTATCGCAAGGTGTGTGGGCACCTTTTAGCCAGTTCAGCTCTCGCACCTGTACACCCCTAAGGCCCCTTTCAGTTCCTATCTGCAGGAGATCCATGCACAGATTCCCTGCTGATCGGAACAGATGTCACCGATGTGATATCTGCATTTGTCCAGTTTTATTCCTCCATCTTGCGATGGAAGACAAAACTGTAATTACCGGACCCCATATTTGTCTATATGGAAAAACTGACAGAAGGCCCGTGTGAAAGCGGCCTTATGGACCAGACCAATTCTTACATTTCAGCAATGGCTGTATTGAATCAGCAATAACTTTCTCATTAATTTCGATAACAAAGTAACACGTATATAGTTTTTTTTTTCCACTACAAACTAAGCTTTATCTTCACAATATTGTCTTAAAAAATTATTTTCATTTATATACAATCTGTAGACAAAAGATGAAACCAAACAAAAGGAGATGCCATTTTTTTTCTATTTTGACCAGTGTTCATTTTAAAACGAATGATCCTGTCGATTAAAAAAAAATGAACACTTCATATATAGAATATCTCTGTTCTATAATAACATGAACATGCTTGCTTCCATTTTCAAAGCGTAGTGAAGTTATTTACAAATAGAGTAAAGGCTTTTTTTTATTTATTTGCTGTTTGCGAAATATGTCCCTAAAAATGTATGGACCAAGCAAATGAAAATGAAGAACGATTTTAAATATAAATTTGTATTTATTTTTTTTAGTTTCCAGCAAAAATACTAGCAGGGGAGCAATGTTTGGTAGGGTTGATTTAGAGTTAAAGATGATTTCTGTGGGAAAATGATTTAACCCTTGCAGTGAGTCTACCCCAGCATTGCGAGGGTTACCTGCTCCTGTGTGTCTAGGGAGGAAAATGAAAATGATACCCACTTGATCCTCCTAGCTAACTTGCTCCAACCGGTCCCTGGAGCCTCTCTCCCCCTCCACTGCAGCAGTATAAGGTCCCATAAATCATCACATTCTATACACGGTGGCCGGCTCTGAGGCTCAGGTGAGTATAACTTTATTATTTTCCTCCCTAGACCAAAATGAGCAGTTAATAATAGTTTTCTGCTTTAACGAAGGCCTCATGGACATGGGCAGAAAAAAAACGCTGCCTCTGAACACAGCTCTCTATTGGCCAGGTTGTTGCCTCAGGTGACATCTCTCTGGATTATGGGGGAGAAGGGGGGGGGCAGCAGGCAGAGTGGCATGGCTGCTCTGTTGTACAATGTTTACAACAGCCTGCCACCCTCATTCTGGTCAGATCTTCCAAGGTTGCTAAGAGCTGGGTGGGGAGATGTGTAATGGCCATACACATCTCCTTGCACAGCTCTTAGCAACCTTGGAAGATCTGGCTGGCGTCCTTGCTAGGTGCTGGCAACCAGTGACATCACTGGTTGCCAGGAGCTGAGTGGGACTCTCGGGCCGGTCTCCCACCCAGCTCCTGGCAGCCAGCGATGTCATTGGTTGCCAGGAGCTGAGCAGGGAGATACCATTAGGCGTGACATTGGCCACAGCTGGGCATGGAGATGATGCAGAGGCCCCACTCATCTTCCCGAACCCACCCCCTGTATCAGGTACAAAGGTGCACTGTTCCCCCCGCTAGGGACATCCCTGTATACTTACATTGGAGCAGCTCAGCACAACTGTCACAAGAGGCAGCAAGATTTGCTATAGCTTGGCACCTGTTTCTGACAGTATCCTGCTTGATAAACCTCCTCAGTGTATTACAGCCATGCATCTGATTCACGTAACTGAAAAATAACAATTCATTTTTTTTTTTTTTAACAGCTACTCACAGTCTACTCAATAGGCGCTCCAGTGCATCTAATGTTTTTGATACAGAAGTGGCATATTCAGAACAAGCAGCAGACGGACAAAATGAGGATTGCAAAACACAATGTAAACCAGAAAAACTACCTGTAAGATCCATGTTCTGTTTCATCAAAAAACTTGAAAATACAAGGCTAAACTTGTATGGGTTTGCTTAAACTGTACCTGTGGGCAGAATGTAGCTAGTAAGGTGCCACATATACTGACTATTCCAGGAATATGAAGTGCTTCCAGGAATTTCTGCATTTCCTCCCCCCTCCCCCTACACACACACACACACACACACACGATTACCTTGGGAGCCCTAAAACCTGAGTTTCTTTCTTATGCAAATAGGTTTAAGCCAATATAGGCTTTGGACTCTGGCTCATGCCCTTTTATATTTCCTGTACTTCACTATTGCTTAGCTGGGCTGTCTTTTTTTTTTCCATAACACGGTGTCTCTGGGTTTTAAGTTCCCAGTTATCTCTAGAAGAAAGTTGGGTTAAAGGCCCCTGGATGTGTGCTGGACACTTAAGTTGGCCAAACAGGTAAAGAAATCACTCAATTCCATCATAAACGCTAAACAGTGTGTATGGACAAATCCCCTTGCTGTCAGATTGCACGAGCCACAGCTGTCGGAATGCATGAACAGTGCCCAAATTGGCCCAATATAGCAATTCTCTGGCAGTTCACAAATTTGTATTCTGTGTATTTAGCTGCTTGCCGAGCGTTTAGCCTGATGGCTTATGCAGTGCTTGTGGAAATGAACTGTACCTTTCCTGCAAGCTTGTAACTTTAGAATCGCCCAGAGCTTGCTGCAGTTATAATTATAGTCCACAGTTATATGGCGTGCTGCAGTTGGGGATACATAGGGTCCATTTACACTATGCGTTGCATTAACACAGCCCATTAATAACAGTTTGAAGTAGGACTATAATTTCCCATTAAAAACAATGTGCTGCAGAGCTTACTTTTCTCTTCGTCCCCCCTGTAAAGTCCCACAAATAACTGTTGAGTCTGCCGATGAAGTCTACCCAATGCAGCTTCCTCTGATTGTGTGAAAACAATGCTGCACTGGTCTTGAATTCAGAGCGTAGTTGCCACTCTCATATAAGCTAAGCCTGCTTGCACTACAGTGGGATGAAACAATGTTGCACAGGGCATGGCTTTCAGTATTGTCACTGCTGATTAACAAGCCTGTATCGTATCTTGTCAATCAGCACCTGGCCACATCTAGTCCTGCCCACTACTTTCTGGATTGACAGCACACTCTCTGTTGCTGAAACCCTCCCACTGTGAGTGGCAGTGTCTGAGAGGGGGAGTGTTGGAGACACAAATGAAGGAGGATTTGGTTTAGTCAGGCAAGGTAAAGGAAGTTTTTGTTTGGGTTTTTTTGTAGGGCCTGTGCATCACATAGTAACTAGATTTTGTACTTGGGTAGACTGTCATACAGGAACCTTTAATAAATACAATATGTATTTATTATAAAAGCAACATCTGCTTGTTCAGCAATGCAACATACTACAAGGCACACTATGTTGTTGTGCTCTGTACTGCAGGTGTGTTGGCACTTGCTATATAAGTGCATTGGGATGGCATCCTAAATAAATAGAACACCAATGCACATAGTGTCATGGATTAGCATGCATTGCGTTCCAGTGTGTTAGTACAACGCATAAGTGTGAGCGGGCCCTAAGGTGTGGGGACATAGTAGTTAGAAAAGGTAACCTGCATTATCTTTCATGATTTTGTAATGTTTTCATCTACATGAGCTGTGTATTATGGCTGTTTAGCTAACTGAGTACTGATGATATTATTGATGTTCTTTGTTTACACAGCGTTTTCATATTCAAAAGGGACGACTTGGCATGACAAGGGTTTCAGACCTGTCTTCACCTGACATGAAGCAGGTGCCCACGCTGGCACTTATAGAGCTGACCGCTCTATGTGATGTCCTAGAAATAGACCTGAAAAGGAACAAAGCCATCAAGCGTAAAGCTTCTGGTAGGAACCTACTTTGTCATCATTCTGATAGGGGGGAAACGTTAGGCTGTTGGGTCCACTTTATTTACATATTTTAAACTTTTATTTGCTATACTTTTTCTACTTTTATGTAAAATGTTTGTTACAAAAAAACATCTAACACAGGTAGCACCCTTTAAAGAGGACACACAGCAGACTTTACTTTCAGACACTCTGTCCCTGATTGAAATTTAGGCTGACCTAGTGTATTTGACACCCAGAGCAGATAATTTTTTAACACCGCTTTCTAATCTGTAGTACAGCAGGATTGTTTTTAGTTATGGGATTTAAATTAATACTTCTAAAAAGAAACAGACTGCATCAAACAGCAATTTGTTAGTGGTATGCACTGTGTGGGGTGATAGTAGAGAAGCGTCCCATTGAATTGGTGAACAGTGGAGACAGACCAGGAGAAGGGGCCTCTTTCACTAGTGTTTAGAAGAGAAGAGCCCCCTTGAACTGGCGGTCAGTGGAGAAGGGCCACCTTAAACTGGTCATAAAAGGAGAAGTCCCTCCTTGCACTGGCAGTCAGTGGAAAAGAGCCCTGTTGAACTGGCAGTCAGTGAAGAAGGGCCCACTTACACTGGGGGCCAGTGGAGAAGGGCCCCCTTTCACTGGTGATCAGAGGAGATCTGATCTGACCTAGTTTGCTTGTCCTCAGTGCATTCTTTCATTCTGGGCCTCTGCTTTTCTCTCGTTTGTATATCTTTGTTGTCTTTTGGGTATTTTATACCCGGGCCCTTATATTTTATTTGTTTACTTTTCCCATGTTAGAAAGCAAACTCTTTGGGGTACCGCTTACCAGTTTGCTGGAACATGATCGCAGAGTGATTTCCAATACGCAGGTCCCACTTATCCTTCAGGCGGTGAGTTCAAAGTCCTCTCCATATTTGCAGTTATAACCGTGTATAACATAGCATAGAAAGGCTAATAGGAATATAATAATAGAAATGGCACTACTTTAAGCAGTTTCCACTAGCTTTATATTCCGTGTGATTGGAGGAAGACCCACCACCGACAGATTCTGTTTTAGAAACAGTTGACGATAAGTTACCAATGATACGTTTAGTCTTTTTTTTTTTTTTGCAAACGAATGGTTAAGTGGGTAAAATTGGCTTGAATTTGCCTGAAAATTGCTTTGCATTTGGCCAGCATAAATCTAGATATCAAAAAGTAGGGAATAGTTCAAACACAGCAGTTTTTTTTAATTTTCTTTTTTTGCTATCTGTGTCCTGTTTAGAAGATTTCCCATCACTTCCTGTCCCAGAGACACAAATTTGAATTCAAATTTGACTCCAAAGTGAGGAGAATCTCCTCTTAGAATGTTGTTTTTGAGACAAGTCTTTGTTGGAAGATTTACCCTTACCTCTTGTTCCAATAATAATACATTTATGGATTTTTCCCTCACTTCCTGTCCCGATGAAAATGGTTAGCAGGATAAATCTCCCCAGTAGGAACCCAGCAATAAAACCTGACAGAGATTCAAACTCTTCCCCACAATTTCCCGCTCTATATAAGAAGAAAATTGGCTTTAGATATATGTAAAAATAAATCAGTTGCCACCCAAATTAATTTACACTAGTATTACTGATGCCCAATTTTGTTGCAAAATGTATTTATCACCTGTGAATTCTAGGGCTTGGTATTTGAAATCAATTGCAGTATCTCCATGCATGGCAGCAGAGGAATGTCTGTGACCTGTGTGTGCAATAAAGCCCTGGAAGATGGAACAGAGAAGTCACAGACACACCCCCATCCCTCATCTACAGCAACCTTACATTTAGGGCTTGTTCACACCATGTCCGGACCAGAACAGTTTGTGCACGGACCAAAAAAGCATCCCAATGTATCCCTATGGTATTTCTGGGCTCTGTTCACACCCGCGCAGTCCGTTCGGGTCCAGACAAAAAGAAAATACTGCCTGTCTCATCTTCTCTGGTCTGTATAGTATAAATGCATCAAAACGCATGCAAACACACTAGACTGCACCTGAAAGCCCATTTTAGGCTTGCAATAAAAAAACTGCCCTGGAAAGCACCAGAGCGCGGCAAAAACGCACTTCACTGCGTTTGCAGATCTGGTCCAGACATGGTGTGATCATAGCCTTACGGTCGGTACACTGCTGTGCATTGTGCATGTGCTCTGTATTATGTTGTGATGTATGCATCATAGTACTTGTTCATTTTTTTTTCTTTTTAAACTTTAAGGCCTCATTCACACGAGAAAGGGCCGGCACATACAGCTCTGTGCTGCGTGTACGGCCGTATAGGGCCGCTCCCGGGAAGGACAGATGCTGCGTGTGATTAGTACGCAGCCCCTGTCTTACTCTATGGGACTACGCGGCCGTACGCCGCCCTACTCGTACGCTGACAGGATGGATCCTGCCTGCGTCCGAGCCGGGACACCCGCACCCATACGGACATGCACTTGGGGTGAGCGTACGGCTGCGTAGTCCCATAGAGAAGGACGGGGGCTGCATACTGATCAGACGCAGCACCTGTCCTTCCCAGGAGCTGCCCGATACGGCCGTGCACGCAGCATGGAGCTGTACGTGCCGGCCGTTTCTCGTGTGAATGAGGCCAGTTTATTTACCTCTATGCACAACAGCAGATTGCAACATGCTGATGTGCGTTGCAATGTGTTTTCGTGTGTGTGTTGTTGCATACAAATATAACATGCCTACATTTTCCCTCAATGCACACCAATGCACTAGTTTACTGTGAATAGACAGCAATCTGTTTTTGCTTGTCCTTGCATTGGGCCTGCGTTGATCATCTGAGATAACATGGGGGTGACCTTTTCCAAAAAGAAACCTAAAAAACTGCTTTACCTGGCATTTTCTGGATTGCTGCAGTTCAGCTTTAAGAACAGGAAATGTGCACACCACAAATAATTAATTGGTTAATGATGGCACTAAATGGAGCAGTTGCTTATATTTGATGTTAACAGAACCTGAGACTTTTTGTTTTGTTTTTTTTACTTTTCTGCAGATTCTCACGTGTTTGGAAAAGAAGGGAATAGATGTTCAGGGTATTTTAAGGATATCTGGCTCACAGGCTCGGATTAAGGTAACGTCATAGAAATGGACGTTGTTTTATTTATTTGCCTCTGTTCACTCGCAGAATTTCTGACTGGCTCCTTTGATCAGCTGATCGAGGGATGCCGGCCTGAAAGGGTGCCGACAGCAGCACCCACTATGCTAATTTTGTCCGGTTCATCAATAGTAAAATGTATACTGTGTGTTGTACCTTTTAACATAACAAGTAGTCAGGAGCACCAGTAATGTTTTTGTACACTTTAAAGATGGGACTGGTACCATCAAAGATAAAACTTCTTTGTCATGTGTTTGTTGAATCATTTTCTGTCTTTATTATAACCTTCTGAATTG